GCTTCTCTTGTTGTGGAGCACGGGCTCTAGGTGCGTGGGCTTCAGTAGTTGTGGCTCACGGGCTTCGGTAGCTGTGACTCGCGGGCTCTAGAGCGCAGGCTCAGTAGTTGTGGCTCACGGGCTTAGTTGCTCCACGGCATGTGGGATCTTCCCAGACCAGGGCTCGAACTTGTGTCCCCTGCATTGGCGGGCGGATTCTTAACCCCTGCGCCACCAGGGAAGTCCCCTGTTAACTGTTCTTAACGAAAGTTTGCCATTAATTCCATGAAGAAGGGGAGAGGACAGAAAGAAGAGGAGAGGCATTTTATAATTTACCAGAGATCTTAGTATGGTGGCTGTAAACCAGAAGCACTAATGTTTTCTAGGTTGGGTGGGGGTTTGGAAATGGGATGTTGGTGGAAGAGGGACAGAGTACCTCCACAAGTTGTCTGGGTGTCAGGGGAGATGGAGGCACCTTCCCTACAAGCTCTGTGTAAATCACCGACTGCTGGTAGCATCACACGCCTCGTGGTGAGAAGAGGGGTGGCGCCGGGATGCCACCTTGCACAGTCCGTGGATAACTGCAGAATATCCGAGTCTGGTTACTGCCAATGGTTATTCTGAGCTGCTTATTTTGGAGTTTTTGAGTAAATAGTTACACAGTTTTCACTGCAAAGAAATGTTTTACCACAAAAATGTTCTTTTCTAAAAGTGCACAAAACACTTTAGGGTCAAATCAATAGACGTGAATCAAAGCATTTACTGTGGTTCTACTAACTATTTGATCAAAATATTACTTTCTTTTCCTTGCATTTTTGTTTTATCATATTATGAAGTGGTTTTACAAGTTGGTTGTTCCATGAACCATCTTTTGCTGGTGTGTGTGCGTGTGTGTGTTCTGAAGAGGAATGTGTTTTCCTTTCTCCAACCCTGCTCCTAGAGGAATTTCAACCTTTTAAAGGCATTAGATTTATGTTATTTTGGTTGTTATTTTGTTTTACTGGTGCAGGAATGTTTTGGACTGTGACAAGACTGCAGCCATAATTTTTGCAGTCTTCTGTTTCTTAGAGCTGGCATACTAGGATTTCAGCAGCTTTTAAAGTCACCTTCTGAGAATTGTGTTGCCTGTTTTAGAAGTATCTATAGATGCTTCTAAGGCTTAGTTTTAATAGAACTTTTGAAAACCTACTATCGTCCAAATACTCTAAGAACTGACGGTACAAAAATGAAAATGGTACCTCCTCTGTCTACCATCTAAACCTAAAGGGAAGACAAGAGATCCTCCAATAGCTGCAATCTAACCAGCTGCCAGCTGTTGAGGAAACGCCTTCTGCACCAGCACATGGAATCCTTAGAAAAACCTTACAAAGTGGTATTACTGTCCTCATTTGAGAGACGAGGAAACTGAATTGCAAAGAGGTAAAGAAATGGGAAAGGCAATGTCAGGTTAAACGCTTCGGACGTGAGTCAGACCAACCCGTTCATATCCCAGGTTCCGAGGTCACACAGAGTGGATGAGCTTGAGCCCCTTGCTGCTGTAGCAGATGCTCTTGGTTGCTCCTGAATGCTGGGCCCCAGAAGATAAGTCCACATTGTGAATATTACCCTATAAGGCTCAAGATGTGAATAAGTTGAGGATCTTGAGGGGATGAGTTCATCCCGGATTATGCGGTTCAGTGGGTGGAGCGTGATTTGGCCCCAGGCTTCCTGTTCCTGGAGGTTTCGTCCTGACTTTTCTCGTATGATGAGTCCAGTGTTCACCAGCCCCATGACCTTCGCCTGGACCATTTCCCTAGTGGTGCTCCCTCTATTGTCACTGTCTCCTGCTTTGGTTGGCATATAGTGTATGTCCTTTCTGAGATACTATGAGGGTCTGGGAGGCGCAAAGGAAGGTGAAACAAAGTGGGAATCAGAAGAGGTTGGTCCCAATCCCCTAGTGGGTAGCGACCCCTCGCTCTTGTTCCGCATCAGGTGGACCCAGCAGGTGTTAAAAGACTCTAAAAGGTTGAATGGATGAATGAGAAATCCTGTTTCTGGTTCCCAACGAATAATAAAGCCCCATGTTCCCCATCAGTAAAACTAGAGCCCCTAGTCAGCCCCCTATACCTGTGAGGACCTAAGGAGAGAATGTCTGGCAAACGGTGCTTCTGGTGGGCTTCCCTGGTGGCGCAGTGGTTGAGAGTCCACCTGCCGATGCAGGGGACACGGGTTCGTGCCCCGGTCCGGGAGGATCCCATGTGCTGCGGAGCGGCTGGGCCCGTGAGCCATGGCCGCTGAGCCTGCACGTCCGGAGCCTGTGCTCCGCAACGGGAGAGGCCACAGCAGTGAGAGGCCC